AAAAGTTTGCTAAAATACCCAAAGGCTAACTAAAAGCAAATGTCAAAATAGTTAGAAAAGCATCAAAAAAGTTTGCTAAAATACCCAAAGGCTAACTAAAACGTTGAAGTAGCCTAACTACCTAAAAGTAGTAAAGGGTTAACTAAAACTAAATGTATCAAAACATCAGCTAAAAGAAAAAAAGGCAGAATGCTAGTTAGATGTAGTAAAAAGCTAACTTAAACTAAAAGTACCAAAATGTCAGTTAAAAGCTGCAAAAACTCATAAAAAGAAAAGACCAACTAGAAGTTAAAAGTAGCAAAAAGCTAGCTAAAAATACCCAAAGGCTAATTAAAACCTTAAAGTAGCTTAAAACTCACTGAAAGTAGTAACTGGCTAACTAAAAGTAAAACATTTTCAGCTAAAAGCTGCAAAAACTAGTCTAAATATAGAAATATCAAAAGATTGTGCAGAAAAAAAGTAGCAAAAAAGCTAGCTAAAAATACCCAAAGGTTAACTAAAACCTTAAAGTCACCTAAAACTAGCTAAAAGTAGTAAACAGCTAACTAAAAGCAGCAAACATTCAGCTAAAAGCTGCATAAACTCATTAAAACATAGAAATATCATACAATAGCTAAGGAAAAAGTAGCAAAAAAGCTAGCTTAAAACACTCAAAACACTACCTAAAATTTTTAAGCAGCTAAAAACTCGCTGAAAGTTGTAACTGGCTAACTAAAAGCAGCTAAACTTCAGCTAAAAGCTGCAAAAACTAGTCTAAATGTAGAAATATCAAAGAATGTGCAGAAAAAGGTAGCAAAAAGCTAGCTAAAAATTCCAAAAAGCTAACTAAAACGTTGTTAAAACTAGCAAACGGCTAACTAAAAGAAGCAAAATGTCAACTAAAATCTGCAAAAGCTCATTAAAAACATAGAAATAACAAAGAACAGCTAAAGGTAAAAGTAGCAAAAACGCGAGTTTAAAACACTCAAACACTACCTAAAAATGTAAAGCAGCTAAAAACACGCTGAAAGTCATGACCGGCTAACTAAAGGCAGCAAAATGTCATTTAAAGCTGCAACAAAACAGTTTAAACATTGAATTATAAAAGAATGTGCAGAAAAAGGTAGCTAAAAGCTAGCTAAAAATAGCCAAAGGCTAACTAAAACCTTAAAGTAACCTAACACTAGCTAAAAGCTAATATTAGCATAAGAACATAAAAACAGAGCCAGTTTTCTGAAGCAGATTTTTTTAAATAATTGTTTTGACGGAACAGAAGAGATCTCAATGATTTGAATATATTTATAAAGTTTAATTTATTTCTTTTTAAAAAAGAACAGTGCACAAATATCAACATCCAAAAGAAAAAAGCTTTGGCGTTAGCACAACGGCTAATTTACAACTGTTGTCCCGAGGAACGTTAAACATTTTAAAAGAATAAAGTCATAAAAACAAGAGAACAAAGAGCGTGAACACTGTTTCTGTGTAAACAAACCCTGGTCTGATTTTAACCCGTCCTCCTCCACGCTGCGGGTCAGAACCACAGAAACACATCAGAACCTCCATGTGTGGCTCGCAGGTTCCCTGGCTCCATCTTAAAGTGGCCTACTTCCTGTCAGGCTTCAGGGAATCAGAGCGAGCAGAGAGGACTTTTACAGCTTTATTAAAACACACAGAATTCAGACGAGATGATCTCAGGATGAATTCAAACTGACTTCTGATCAGGAACAGTTTTTATAAATGAATTAATGTTTTTGTGTCTCTAATGAGTTCAGATCTGACACTTAACTTCCTGTTTCCTGTGTGCCAAACGTTGGTTTCCTGAGTTTCACTAAAATCATCTTAAACAAAACATTTGGGTTGAGGATATTCTTCAGAGCTCAGTTGTCAAACCTCCTCAGCCTCCTCCACCTGACCTCCTCAGCGCTGAGGTCTGCAGATGCGTTGAAGCCATAAGGGGGCGGAGCTTCTCCTCGCCGGGTTTGATCTGGGAAACCAAATATCAGATATGGAGATTCTTAAGAGTTAAACCATGGCCCCGCCCCCCCGGCCTCCTCACCTCTGTCATGCAGACTGTTTCTGATGGCCTCCTCCAGCTGCTCCGCCTCTGTCAGCCCACCTGTGTAAACTGCTGAGTCAGCGCTCCAGTAGTTTGGAGCAGAACTTCCTGAGTTTCCTCCTGCAGCGCCACCATAACCTGCAGATTTAAAATCCACTTCTGCAGATCGTCTTCTTGAATCCTTACATTGTGGGAAAGCCCGACTCAGTCAGGGACATAAGAGGGTTCTGTTCACCTGGGAGAACTCACCTGAAGTACCGGAGTAGCTGCGGTGTGTGTCTGAGGAAACTAACGCTGGTGGAAAAAACACAAACACAACGTTTCAGCACAAACATGTTGACGGTTGCAGCTGTAATCCACTCAGTTTCTGATTAAATCAGCTCACTGATGGATAAAAAACAAATAAAAATCACAGAAAATATAAAAAATGAGGTTTAGAAAAACTGTTTTCCTGAAAACATCCAAAATAAAAAAGTCATCTTTAAAAAAAAAACTGCATCAAAGACCTGCACATCTCTTCATGATGGTCTTCAGGGGTCCGGACGTGTAGAGCAGACCCACCAGGATACCTGCCAGGTGTCCAACAAACGAGCTCCTGCAGAAGCAGAAATGTCTGATCAAACAGCGCCCTCTGGTGGAGCCTGAGGCTCACAGCAGCTAATTAAAGGACTTCTAGTTGAGCTGCGATTCAAAAGCCCCAGAGAGAGAGGCAAAGGAAATATGTGTCCAGCTGAGCAGCTGGTGTGTGTGAGCCCAGTCTGCTCAGACAACATGTAAACATCAGCCTCCATCTTTGTGTCACGGCCTGCAGAGCTGCTCTGCTCGGGTGTTTTTACGTCCTGACTGCAGAAAATAAAACATAAAGTAGTGAATACTGAGTGGCCCAGGTCCTCAAACGGACGGTTTTCTTTTTTTAAATTCTGTTTATTTTATTTAAAAACACTGTATTGATCCCCTGGTGGGGAAATTAACTATCTGCATTTTACCCATGGGGCATGTGAACACATGTGGAGCTGTAGGGTCACCTCGAGTGTAACAATAAGAAAACTTCCTCTGACCACAGACCTCTGATGGCCCCTTCAAAGACACAGACCTCTGATGGCCCCTTCAAAGACACAGACCTCTGATGGCCCCTTTAAAGACACAGACCTCCGATGGCCCCTTCAAAGACACAGACCTCTGATGGCCCCTTCAAAGACACAGACCT